ATCCATCAAGTCTTGAGTTTTTATCTTTACTTTCTAAGGAGGCTTGAATCAAGTTGTTAATTGCTGGATCGTACATGTCCTTGATCTCTGGAACTACGAATGGTTTGAAAAGAGAAGGTTCAACTCTTTATGTATATTGTGTTGATTGTCACACATTATTCTGTGACAAAATCTCCAGCCTATAGTGAGAAGCACAAGAAATGTAAGCAAAACGATTTGTTATTGATATCCACTTGATTATCATATGTCAACCAATATCAATGTCATATATGGCATATTAAGTTCATGATTACAATTAGTTAGCACTATTACAATTTCGACGCCGTTACCTCTTCGCGTAATTTTGATTTACACTTTAAATTTATCCGTACTGCGACTTATTCGGTTAAAGCTAGATACTAATACTTTAGCAGTTACTCCGTCATATTATATTAGCTAAACACTTAATAAAACACACATGTTATTAACTACTTTAATACTATAGAAATAAATTATTAAAAATCCTTTCAAACATCCATCTGCTTCTCTTTTGCACTATTACTATGCCCGGTCGACACAGTCAACCAGGCACACAAAACTTCCTAATTATGTAATATACTAATACAGTCAAACCTTGTTATACTAAACCTCATTACATCTCATTATACTAAATAGTCCTTGACCTTAGGCCAAACTTTGTTATACTGACTGTCTTGTTGTTATTATATTGAATTGTGGATCCTCCCTGGCACTTCAGTATATATAATGAGGTTTTAATATTAACTGTACAAAATAATGTAAAACATCTCATGAATAAGAGCTCTATTTATATGATAATGCAACCTTAATATTGAGTGTTTATGGTAAGTGTTATATGATTTCATGCCATTTATTTGAGTCAGGAGTAAATAATGAGTAAATAGAAAAAATTTATTGAGGATTCTTTGAGTAATAGTAACCAATGCAATGACCACCAGTCTTTGGTTTTCTATAATAATCACTTCTTGGTCTATATGAATTTGATTCTCTTCAAGAGCATACAAATCTAGGTTTCCAACTTTTTGCATGCATGACTAATACTAAAGACAATATGAACTTGGCCAAATGCAAACATAGTGTCATCGCTAAGGATATGTGGGGCAGAGTTAATGCTTGTGTTTTGTGTACAGTGAGTGCAAATAGTAATAGAGGGAATTGGGTATGAGAACATGGTGCACCATTAATAAGAAAGAATCAGTCACATGTGTAATAGAAGTTACCAGTTGATATTGAGTAGGAAATGTCACTTCAACTGTATTATCACCAATTCTACCATTAGCAAGACCAATGTTATATTAATATGTTAAAGAAAGTGTTATTTAAGAACATGACACATGCATTAATATAAATAAGGATTAATACAACTGGGAGATTTGTGTGATAATGGTAAAGATAGTTGAGGTTTATAAAAGGAGAGCATTATAATCAGACAAATTGGATTCTGAGATCTTACTTTGTAGAAGCATTACATTTGGTAATGTAATATTAATATAGTAATAGTAATAGAGGGTTTTGTTCTCATATACTAGTTTCCCTGCCTTGTAAATTGAACAAAAATCACTGACATTAAAATCTTGTTGATAGTTTCCTTTCCATGAGCAGTACTTGAAAAGTATTTGTACATAATGTTTGATACTGACTTATTATTATAGAGTGTACCCATGATTATAGGAATGAATGTTCTCCACTCAAAACCTGGTGAGTGTTACACAACTATAGATGAATTAGGTATGCATTTTTATCGTTCTGATTAATAAACGTTCCATTTATGATTGTAGGCACTTTGATAAGTATTGGTGATCAGATTGATGGTATGATGCCACCCACCCCTTGATTTTGTGTGTCCTTTATTGAGCAACTAGTGTCAATTACTGATTTGACAGGAGACCATGGAGTTTTCTTCTGGTATGAGAGGCAACCACTGTGGAATGAAAAGAGAGGATGAGTGTTGTGAGACTTGGAGAGCTGGGGTGGGTCTTCCTCCAAAGACATGGTTGTTATAGGGAGCAGATTTGATGAGTCTCTCTGTCTATTGATGTGCATTTGGAGAGTGAGAGATGAGGAGTGTCATAGTCAGGTGTTTGTGGAAGTGAGGAATGCAGCACATCCTTCAGCCTTTTGCCACACACATGGGGCAGTGCAATGGGGCAGGAGATGCCACCCCTTGAATGACTTTGTTGTTGATGATTTCTTTGGAATTGACTATAACAGAGACTGTGGCTGCATTCAAAACAAATAAAATTTCAATTTGAAGTAATTTCTTTTTGGCTTAATTCAGTATATAGTATAGTCTTATAAAATTCATATGATCTATGATCTGCAACTGATTACTGATCACAATTTTTAGCCAAAATTCCGGGAGCAAAAAAAAACCCAGCTATTTCATAACTTTATTATGTCTGAAAACAAGTCTCTCTGCTGTGACTTCAACAAACACTATTACTTGTGGATTCTTCTAGTAATAGTGAATGACTCAGAAACAAGTGAGAAGAACCCAGAAATGGCAAAGAACTCAAAAAAAAAAAAAAAAAGACAGTGTGGACAAAAACAAATTAATCATGTCTCAAACACATTTTAGTCAATGCATAGGCATAAAAAGGACAGATGTAAAAAAACTAAATTTAGTATAATTACAGTCACACCTGTCTATTTGCATAACATATATTTGCATATTCTGTTCATTTACATAAAGGAGCCCCAGTCCCTTATTGGGACCTATTAGCTATTTGCATAATGTGAACATGCAATATGCATCAAAGGTGGACCCTAACTCTAGTAGTAAGTAGATCTGACCAATGTATATTTGCATATATGCATACTACAAATGGAGAGATCAACCAGATTAATCTAAACTATATTATTATTGTGGCACAAAAAATTACCAAATATACCACTTCATTAATTCTTTTTGCTTTTTAAACAGATTTGGTAGCATTGTTGATTGCTTGATGTAGTGTTCTTTATCATAAATGATTGTGATAATAATAGTATCAAATCATGTGATAATGTATATTTGCATAAAAATCTACTGATCCTGACAGTATGCAAATAGACAGGTGTGACTGTATGTGATTATTAAAATCTCAAACACATTTAGTCAATAATTAATTCCTTATTTTTTCATGAAAAAGTTACAAAATTATCATAAATCAACAGTTGACAAAAAAGATCAAGCTGATCTAAAGCTACACAAAATTGACAGGGTCCCCAATGAGTTGTTGGCCTTGGGGGCCATATTAATATTCACACAATGAAAAATTGTTTGTCTTTGTTAACAAACATGGAAAAAAGGTAAAATTTCTGTATATAGTCACCAAATAGGAGAGTCAGTTCATCATCAATTGATTCAGAACTTGTACTATCAGAAAAGTCTTCACTGTTGCCTAGTACTATGTGTGGGCCCATCTGCTGAACAAAGGAGTTGTGAGTAGAGAGAGTCTTCATTATGTATTCCTTCAGGAAGATTAAAATTGGGAATAATAATATCATTTGGTTAAACTGTCACTGAATTGTCTTCTAACACTAGATTAGCCATTAGCCATGGAGAAATTTCAGATGAAATGTTTGATTGTAGTAATAGTAATTGGTTTGCAAGAGTTGAGTAACTTTGAAGGTTGTATTATTATTATTGTGTTGAAGCCAAGTTGCTGCATTTTGTAGGGTATGTAGTATGGTGGTACCAATATACAATAGTTATCATTTGATATTGAAGGAGTATCTAAGTTTCAAGAAAAGCTCCAAACATTCCTGAATATAGTGTAAGAGTTCTCAGATTTTTGGAAAGTCCCATTGTACTCACAATAGAACGATATTCTGTGTATGTGTTAGCATTGGTTGATCTTCCCAAACTGGAGTGTAAAAAAATGGGTCATTAATTTCTTGAGGTATTGGTGTGAGAGAAGAAAATTGCAGTCTTGTTGATGGTTTGTAAGAGTGGCAAGTTGGAAATCTGTTTATTGTACTGATATGTGCAATATCATCTAATGAATTGATGGGTAGGATCTAAATAAAGGGTAAGTTGGTAAATCTTCTTGCATAATCCAAAAAGCTTTTTCTGTTTTCTACTTCATAATTCTTTCTTGAGGGGTTGCTGTTGTATGCGTTGTGTGGCAACCATAGCGTCGTTATCTGTGGCAACTGTAGAGTGCCGTTGTATGCGTTGAATGTTGTTGTATGCCATTTACTATTAAATCTCATCCATACTATTGTTTTCGTCATCAATTTAACAACTTCAACTGCAATATCGGCGACTTTTATCGTCTTTCGTAGCGTCCCCTTATTTTCGATCAACGGTTCCGGTTTCACCTTAACTGGCGATGGTAGCTGACTCTGTATTGGCTTATGTACTGTCGCTATTCTGCGGATTTTTCTTGCGTGTATCTTTATTCAATACCGCCCCACGGTATTTGATTTGTCGACTCCAATTTGACATCACCGTATAGCTTGCTTGTTTCGATTACAAATAATTCAGCAGTGCATTATATGAGACTGTAATTTTAAGGAGTCCATTCAACGGATGCATCAGCAGTATGTCTATGGGTCCACACATTTCAGCTGTTAAAATACATCAGTGTACCCCAGATACAAAAATGACAAAAAACTGCGATCGTAGATGAGCACCCGATGTGAGATGCAATTCATTACCATATACAGTATTATTTATGTTGATCGTTCTAAATATGGTAAACAAGACTCTTTCAGAGCATCTCAGCACTCAGCATCTCAGCACCTCAGCACCACCTCATTTGAGATAATGAAACCTAGTCAGTCTACCTTTATAAACTTAATTGAGCGAACTTAGAAGGCGCTACTCAACTCGTCACCACAGCTATCATATTGATGGCAGCAATCATTTGATTACCATGCATAATAATAAGACAGTGGTAATTATTACTTTTCCACTTTTTAATCTTATGTATTTAATAATTATTTTATTGTTAATATCCTAATAATTTTCTGGTCTATAAGAAAACCTTTTTGAAATGCCCAGAGAATGCGAATATACTTGGACTGAATTTCAGCAAGTATTGAAAAATGTCTTTGGTGAGCGGACAGAGCCTCCAGATGTCCCAAGGAAATATATAAATGATGCATTATTTGAAATAAAGTGTTTTGAAAATGAAGGTAATTGCCCGCAGGAATCCATAAGCATCTGGAGGAACAGACTAAATGACTGGTTAAATGAGATGACACACATGAGAATTATGCGCAAGTCAAATAAAGGTAATCACTGTAATATGTCAATTATTTACAATAACATATCTATTACTTGAAATTGATGTAATTATTTATTACTTTACTATCAGAAACCAGAAACTATCGCCAAAAACCACGACTGCCTGAGAAGAAAGGCAAGGCTGCTGAAACAGATAATGATGATTTTTTTATACACAGCGAGTACATAGGAGCATATGGATTGTTTATTTCGGATTACAAGAAGGATTTCCAGAGGGTGTTGGAGTTAAAAGAATATAAGAAGCATTCACCGACTGCATATGTTACAGCAGTAACGCCGGAGTCAACTCTGACGAAATTAACCAATGGAAGGAGAAGTTTAAACGGTTGGATTGATGAAGCTGAAAGCCTGAATCAGCTAAATGAAGAACTTGGTAATCATTGTTTAATATAACTGCATAGTAATTATAATATTATCAAAATAAAGTTTATTATTATTATTGTCAAATTTTTTGCCAATATGTATTAATATTAATATTGTTACAATGCAATTTGTGGCTTATTATTATTATTTTTATGCAAAAGTTTATTATATATGGCATTATCATTGAGCAGTGTAATAAGAGCAAACATTAGCGTTAGAAAGCCAAAATGTTCGTTTATTAATACTAAATATGTTGCTTTTTGACAATTACAGATGAGAACAATGATGAGGAAAGCGAAGAATTACGACTGGGAAGACTACTAACTCAACACATGGAGTTAAGGCAAATTGCCGAGCAGAACACCAAGAAAATGTGAAAAAAAAATTCAAGACCGACTCCTCAAGAATAAATCAATTGATCGAAACTTTGAAGTCGGATCTATAGTTGTTATTTCGATTCCCGTATTGATCGGCATATTGTGGATCGGCCTCTACTTCCTTGCAAAATTGTTGAAAAAACGAAAGGAAAATACCGATTGGGATGTGCTTCTGGAATCCTGGATGTTACCTATGGAGCAAACGAACTAAATATTGTTGAAGCAGACTTTCCTGAACTTGACAATATACCTACGCAAAGATTATCATTAAGAGAAGCTGCAAAAATGCAAAGCGTCGTTGATGTAGTGTCGGGTAGACAGACAAAGTGTATGTGTCAAAGTGCATGTCTTAGTAGTCGGTGTCGTTGTAAAAAAGCTCAACAGAAATGTAACATAAATTGTCACAAAACAAGTTCTAACTGTCAGAATTCTTAAGTTGTAATTGAAATTTACGTAATGTAATAGTAAAGTGTTCATCGTCTTATCTGGGGTAAATCATGTTTGGGGGTTATGCGTTCTAGGGTGTGCTGCCACAAATTATATATATAATTTCGGAAATTATATAGCGACACAAATTATATACGACATATATAAGCACAGTCTTTCCGACAAGCATTTTTTGCGGCCACAATAGCTGCTAGCTATTAGATATTATATTTAAAATCGGAATACAGTTTTTAGCGTCAATCACTGCCAAAAGATAGTAAAAGGAACGATTAACATAATAATAATAAAAGGAAAGGTTTACATTACCAAATTAATATCATTGGCTGAGGCTGAGACTGAGGCAACAAATGAAAAAATGTGCGTTCAATCTCTACTATATGAAATTTAAATTATTTTAAATTACTCTGTCACATGTTACAATGTTGAAACTCAGCGGTGGCAAGTAATAGTAATCTCCATTTTTTAAAAGAAGAGAGAACTTCTAGATTATGATGCAAAGAGAAATTCAAATATGTTCATATGTTAAAGGGTGAGAGGCTGGTGAGGAATTCAAAATAGTTATAAAGACCGCCTACCAAAACCAAATGTAGTGGTTTAGTGAGCATTTAGAAGTGAGGTTGACTCTATGCCACTTGAAAGCTGAGTGTGAGTTATTCTACATTCCATGCTTACCCATTTTGATGATAACGTGATCTGATGTCACAAAAATTGGATATCATGTGATAAGAATATTGCAGCCTGCACCCCCAAATGCTTCAGGCCAATAATTCTACTATAAGAGAACGATATCCACTACCACCCGAACTGCAGGATATTCATGATAGTTGTATTGCTAGAGCCGATCGAACGGGCTACCCTTTTTCCTCTCCGTGGCATACGATTGTGTTTTTATCAATTTTGGAACATCTTAAAAACAGCCCAACAGCTGCACGTGCACGTAGCATTTACAAGCTCAACGATTACTGGCCTATTTAGATCGCACATCTCAAATCTCGCAATACTGGATCCGCGTTCTAAATTATTGGCATTTAAAAATCAAGAGAAACGAGAGTAAGTCAAAGCAACAATGTTAGAGTTAACTTTGTATTGCGGTTTCTCAACATTGGTGTGCGCAACTATTTTCGCCAACTCCGACGAAGAAACTCATCTATTAACACTCATTTGTGTATTGTCTAATTATCACCACTACTTCAAATAACAACTCTGCAAATGAGCAGCAACTAATTATGTCTGAGCTCACGCGCTATTTGTCTACGCCATTAGAAGATAAAGTCGACCCGCTGCTTTGGTGGTTTACTCAAAAAAGTATACCCGATTCTATCGCTCATGGCACGGGATTATCTATCTGTTCAAGCAACAAGTGACAGGCATTCTTGATTGGCAGACAAGTAATAACATTTCAGAGAAATTGTTTAGATCCTGATACTACGAGAGCAATTCTATGCTTACGATTGTGGATATTAAACAATATATGTTTACATTAAACAAAAATACGTTAAGCTATTACGGAGCACTAAACGTAGTGCAAAGATTCTTCGAATTGAATTGTTTCTATACCAGCTGTTGCTGGTAGTGAAGGTAAGAAACCGGCTCATACAGCGATGGTGATAATGATATCACATCTAGATAGCGTTCACAGTACCAACTTTCATACGTGTATTCGAGTTTTTGTAAGACGTCAAATAATGGCGTCTTTTTGATGGAAGCCAATGTAGACATGTACGTCAAGTCTAATTAATATGAGAGTCATGTTGTAACCCAGTAGTTACATAATCATAATCTAAAATAAAACAAAAACATGAAATATTATTACATATTTTCTCGCCCGCATTAATTTATTATTGTAATAAAAAAAAAAAAGCTGTTGGAAACCGGTCTTTAAACTGGTATGGAGAACCGGTTCTTTAGAATTGGAACTGAACCAATCCATCTTTATAAGCGAGGTTTGTTATTTGAATTATTACAGACGGTGCCATATTATTGTCTATTGTTGGTCATACGGCAGTATTGTTTACTCTGTAAATTCGCTGCGAGAGGTATGTACTACATAACCGCTTTGTCCATAAATTGATGAAGACTGCCTTAAACTATGCTTTATTAGAAAACTAACGTCTCAAGCTCTTGATATATTTACCTACAAATGTTACATTATATCCAATAAGTATGCTGATAAGAGTCTCTTCATTGCGCGCGCGTACCTTGTTATTATACACTTTAGCATAATACAAAGACGTTCCTGACAAACAATAACGTTTTTAGTACTCACATTCATTGAATCCTGCCTTGTTGACCATTACTGTATGTAGCAGCCTTCTTCATAAAGGTGTCAATGAAGTTGGGCTGGAAACACTGGGTAGATTGAGAGAGCTCTTACGTTTTGGAAGAATGGAACAGAGAAAGAGAAAGCTATTCGATGTAAGCATATACAAGAACCATGATCCTATGAGACGAGAAAGGCTACGACTACTTTAGATATTGGACTTAGAACTTGCAATTAACTTATTGTAGGTTTAATAACCGTCAAGTGTACGAAAAATGAGCCACTCTACTGAATAGTTAAGATGAACATTTTTGCTCCAGATCAGTGGCTAACTCTTGGACGGTCTGATCTGAAATTAAAGTCGCCCACCGGCAATTTACCCTGGATAATTTTCTGCCGTTACAACCATTTTACTGTATAGGGTACTAGAGAATAAAATTCGATGAGAAATTTTAGTTCATCCACCATTCAATTCCGTTGACCTTAATCAATGAACTGGAGACAACACCATTCCATCGTTATGCAGCAGATAAGTTGTACGTTCAATGTATACAGTTCTTCGCCAAATGTGTTGAAAACGTTTAATCGACTTCGTTGCCACATGAAATAACAAGGTGTGTCTGCGGTTCATGTAGGCTGAAGCGTACTTGATCGAAATGAGAATTCTTTTTATAGTAAGATGACGTAATTATGCAATGGGGTGGTTGCGCAAATGAGTATGAAACGTGTAGATAATTTTCTTAAGGTAAGTCATAATCTTGCTAATGATTCAAGTGTTCGGGAAATTTTTTTCACACTTATTGTTCGTATTGAGGAAACGACTGTTCTTCTGAACATCAGTTCAGATTAGGAATAACGTCAATGAACTAATTTATCATTGGCCGTTAAATTATGCCCCAGTCATGTGGCAACCAATAGCAGTTGCACACATTCCCAGGGCGTGCGTATAATAGTGAGGCTGTATATAGAACGAACGGTTTACTGTACTGTCAGTATATACCCGAATTTTACGAAAACCTTGAGTTTATGATAGTAGAAAAGAGCCCAATCGTAAAGGAACTACGGTTGTTGAAATAATTGTCTTTCATATTTTATGGTGATTTTGATAATACGTCGAATGAACAATATACTTGTTCTTGATAACCACAACGTGCATATTGCGCAATTGTTATTTGTCAATTGTTATTACTAAACGGGATCTGTAAGAACAGTTTTAGTAATGCCAAGAGTTGTTCCATCATATATATAACATGGCATTATCAAATATTTGATGGGTTTTTCCCCCATTTCTTTAACATGGCGACTTCCCAGGAACGCCCCAAAACACCACCTACTGAATATGGACCCTCACTCAGTCCGCCAACGGTCGAAGAACTTAATATTAACCATATATCTATAAACATAGAACTAACTGAAACTTTGAATGATGCTCCAGAATTAAATGAGAATACAGATAATGCTCCTCCACTAGCCGTAGCAGAGGATACTGTCTCTGTCGATACTGTCTTTACTGGAACAACAGCAGCAGATAACGATAGTATAATAAAAAATTCAGGTTGCGCCGCCTTGCCGTGCATCCTCATAAGTGCTTATTTGGCTCTTATTGTCAATGCTATATTAATGACGGCTGTCACACTAGTATTAATTCTTCTGATAATAGTAAGTGTACGCTAAACAAAACTATACTATAAATGCCAAAGTTGATGCTTCTAATACGACTCAACTTTTATTAACAGCATGCCGACAATTACGAGGAAAGGCGTATGGCTCTAATTATTTGGTGCGCAGTAGATTCTGCGTGGCGTCTGGTGGTCGTAGGTTATATAGCCAAAAAATGTCCTGTGACTTATACAATAATTCATTGGCTGGGAGCATTCTTAGGTAACCTTATCTAATGCACTAAAAGTAACAAATCAAATTTGATCAAATTTTTTATATCGTATTTATGTTTACAAACAGGAAAAGAACATTACATCATCTTGGTCAATTCACTTTGGCCTCATTCTGATCCATTTCGTGCGGCTGTTGATCGGCCAAGCATTAGGATCAATCGTGAATTGTTTCTCCAAGGTTCGTCTTATGCAATTTACAATTTATATTTTGGCATTTGGTTTTGGGTTGTAACCTGGAAAGCCGTAACAGACGATTACGCCAAGCCGTTAGCCCTTACCGGTCTCGTTGCATGTTTGGTTAATATCGTCAGCCACATCATCGCAGATGTGCCATGCAAGATGAAAGAATTTATTTTTGCCCAGTTTGTATGACAATTACAATTGGCGCATGCAACGATTCGAGACAAAACACTAAGTAAATTCTCCGTTTACTGTTTGCGGTTATGTAAAATATGTAAATTGGTTTTTCTTCAAGGAGATGGCTTAAGATTGTTTTTTCTTTGTTAATATTTTATTACATGTAAATATGTTTAAACTTGCAATTTACAGTCAAGCAATAAAATCGCTCAAGACAAGTCGAGTTAGTGAATTGTTGTTCACAATATACGTTGATGCACAATCCAATTTCAAAGCATTCGAAAAAGACTTTCAATTGTAATCACATTGTTTATTCGCTGACAGCACACAATTTATACTTATTCTTTAACGTATGGATAAGAAATGGGTTGGGTTTAACGTAATTACAAATTATTATAATGGAATCAATGAAAATCAAAACCGACAAAATTTATAGCCATCACAATTATACTTTTTACATTAGAAGCATGTTTCAACTATATTACATATAGAATTTTATGCACATTATGTTATGTAAGGTAGACGGGGTAAATTTGAATTACAGAATTGTTATGATGGTCGATTAGAATCAACACGAAAACGATTATAGACATCACAATTATACTTTTATTAAAGTAAACCCTTTTTTTTTTCAACTACATTACATGCAAAATTGTACGTACATTATGTAATTTTATTCGTTCACTCTATGACATTCACTGTAACTAGATTGCAAAATAAATTTACCATGGTGCCGCATTGCTTGCTGCGCAACCTTTGTATTATATGTTAAAACATAATAACTTGTCACTATCATGAAAGTTACTTATGCTAAGCAACATGAGATTATTTGTGGTACACTCGACAAATTAGAAAATTATTCTGCCGTCATCAAATGCGCAAGTTTAAAAATAACCATGCACTACAAAATTTTGGGTTGCGGAATCTACTCTTTGGTAATAGGTCTGGTCAGCCACTCGTACATTTATTAGGTAAAACTATGCCGCAACTCCCTAATATTAGCAAACAAGATATACACCCCCTTCAAGTCAAACCGTATCTAAGCAGTACCCAATGCAAACCTTTTTACATAACGTTAACTCATAGCCTGCAAGGACGATTTAAAAATGCTTTAGAAAAGATGAATAAATTTGCTTATATATACAACAGGACATCTATACTTTGTTGATGGTCAGCCGTACTGCGAAATTTTAGAACTTACTTCATCGGCACAAAAACTCTGCAACTTTAGTCCCGTGGAAATCGAAAAGCAAGATAATAACCAATTCCATCCAGAAAAAATTGCCGCTTTAAAAGCGTCTTTAACCAAAAGTTTTCAATAACAGAGACATCTCCGGCTAAGACGAAAAAATTAACGAAAAAGCCAAAACGTTACTTGCAACAACAAAAATTTAACTCGTATGATTGATGACATGAAACTGTGAGTGAAGAGACAGAAGAATCCAAAAACAAAAACATCGTTACGCACAATTGATATTGACTTTTGTAATGACAATAATCATAACAACAACGATAAAGTCCAAGAGATTGCTACTGACTCGAAAACTGAAGTGGTAAAAGAAGTAATGAATGGCCAACTAACAAATGTACCACAATAATAATTGAGATTTCTACTATTACCGTAAATATACGTAAATCAATTCCTATTAGGAAAATTTTTTATTAATATTCTCATATAAAGCAATTTATACAGTTATTTCCAGTACTAAATAATAGTAGATGCTACAATAAACTATTCTCAATAGTCGGTGCGAATTTTCCATTTGCAAATAAGGCTTATTAAAGATATTGACATCAAGAATCATATAAATATAATCCATTACAATAACCAATATTTGCACTTCAATAATAATCGTATGACATTCAAATAATACTGTATAACCGTAGTATTGTCAAATATTTTAAATTCGACAACAGATATTAATGTGAACGAGTAAATCGAGGAAAGAAAAGGAAATTAATCCAATCGATTTCATAAACACATGAATAAAAGAAACAATTACCTACATTAACGTCAGAATATAATAATAGATAGAATGAAATAAAATAACTTTGAAGTTTTTCCCAAAAAACTGAACAAACTTATATATATACTCGTAACTTTACGGCTTTCTTCAACAGTTTTTAATACGCATAATCGCAACAATATCTCAAACACAATTTCAGATTATACAGATTTTGGAATATTTTAATTTCATAATTTCACACTAATTTTTCTCAATAATAAATAACGCATTATTACTATAAATTTTCTACAAACCCAATCTTTTCCTCCGCCTTCACCGCCGGTTAACAAATAACCTCTAGTTGTTTACTCAAAAATAAAATACATTGCCACACAAATTTGAGAAAGGTTTTATTTATCATTTCCGGGACATCCCGCGCAGCGGTCTTGCTTGTTTCCATTCCCGGAGTGTTTTCTCTTATATGGCTTAATTTTGAAAAGGGGGTTTGCCGCTAGAAGATAAAGTTAATAATACGAAATGAGTGACATTACGTAAAGTATTAGTTGCACTAATATTTTATATGATATTTGTCGTGTGTACATAATATTATAGTATTTAAAATTTTCAGTAGTATTATATAGTCATAATTTTACGTGCAATGTTTACCTTGTACGATTCCCGATTCGAAAAGTACTGCAATAAGGACAAAGGTCAGAAAAAAGTTAACTTCATGCTTGATTTATTGATCTTTTGAGAGCTGATGGCAGCTTTTAATAAAGCAGTTTTTGAATGTTTCAACTTGTTTTCGTTGCTCATATATTATAACGAGTTGCGTTACTTTGATTCGTAGCGACTTGTATGACAAAACTGAGAAAGTGCTGAGACGTTGTGTAATGTACTTGTTTTTTTTAAAAAGAAAATCAGAATCACATCCAACAGTCGCTGTATGTTGTACCATTAGCCGATTTCGGGTGCTGCTCTTCCGATCGATACACTCGTTATTCCGCATAACATTGTCACTGTAATCACTGCCATTAAATTTAACATTTAACATTTATTGGAGAGGTAGGTAAATTATCGATGTACTGTACTAGGTAGATATGTTCCGCTTGTAACGCTTCCCCTTTTTAGCATAGATCATTATTATTGTCGGTTTTGTTTTCGGAAATAAAGTACGTGAATTGTACTTTTGGGGTTTGCTGTTGCACACATGGCTTAATGCTACACTTTCTTGTATGCCAACAGTTTCTACTGATCTTGCACGATATATAAGATAAGGGAAATAGAAGCTGGCATTTCTTTTTTGAAAAATTGTTACTGAGAATTATAAAGTTGGAATGAGCGCTATGTGGGCTAAAAATTGTAAAGGAAGATGGCAAAAAGATTCAGTACGTTGCCGTTTAAATATTTTTGTTGAAATTACGGTAACAGACTGTTGATTATTAACCATACAAGTTTTTAGTCGGAGAAAATCGATCTGACAATAGAGTTGAATAACGACAACAGATTTATTAATTATTAATACATACAGTTTTAGTCGTACTATAATTGTTGACTTTGACTATTTTGGGCTGGCTTTTAAGAATTATGATATGCAAATAGTATAGCAGCAGAGTTGAATTACGAAATAGATTTATTGATTATTAATACGCACAAAGTTTAGTCGTAATTGCGTACTGTAGCTGACGGCAAATACATACGAGGGTGTTAGAAAGTCGACCGTGACATACAAATAGCAATAGAATTGAATTACGACAACAGATTTATCGATTATTAATACATCAGGTTAAGTTGTAATGGTATTGAGCAAAGCGAAGGACTATTACTGTCTACACACTATGAAAAATTTCTAGACCAATGATTGTGATTGACAACGTTATTGATTGCTCCGGACTCACAATGGTTCCCGTTCCCCTAGTTTACTATTTACTCTTGAATCATGTCTCACGCACGTTATTTAGCGGGGCAACGAATTGTACACAAGTATCCAAATTACCAACAAAGCCAGTAGAAGAGAGCAGGTGGGTGTATGAGTGTATTACTTTATTACTTGAGCACCACCTAATATTGATTTTGTATGGAATACAGTTTGCCTTTGAAAATTGGCTCGAACTGGTAATTAAAGCATTTTCAATAATTCCTCCACACCCCACTATTTTCACAAAATGCCAATTTTTGTTGCACCAAAAATCAAAACTAGCGTTGCAAGCTTGGAACATCGTTTAAGAGTAGCATTGCGTTTCATTAGCACAAACTTTGAAAAACATTACGATAAAAAACTATAACACTTCCAAGGATATAAATTCTGGTTCGACAAGAAAATTGGAAACGTGTTTATAATTGGCATGGCTCAACCAAACATGAGGCTATTATCTCCCTGCTATTTTCTAATAATGGAATAGAACTGGCTGTGTGTTCGGGTGTGATGCAATGCTTTTTTTTATAAGTTTGTATGTTTTGAATTTACATCGAGTCATTGTAGTTATGGTGTTGATGAAAGAAAATAACAGGCTAAATATAAAGTTATTTATATTATTGTATCTTTTTGGCCATTTGTTGGTTTATTTTATTTGTAAAGGTTATTGTCAATGTCAGACCAGAGTGGTCATATTTGGATAAGTTTTCTGACAAACACATAGTAAACAATTGCCAGATATTAATATGTCCACATCATGACGGGATTAAGCTATGTGGTATACAAAGTATTTCTGCTTACATCCTGCTGAAACTGGTAAAACGCAAATAGTTATAGAAGAGTAGTATAAACGAAGCAAAACATTATCTTCATTCAGTTTATCTTCAAATTATATTTTCGATTTTGTTTTAAATTAGAATAGTTCTCTATATTTCAATAAAGACTGTGTCAAAAGGTAATCAATTATTTTTGTTATTGTTTTTGTAAACAATTCCTAGTAAAGACATAATCGCTGGCATAGCTGAAAAGTCTTAATTTGGCTGTTGTCTTCAAGTTTTAATAGCCTTTTGCAAACAGGATTTTAATTTTAATTGCGCGAGGTTAGGATTATTTCCCCCAACAATAAGTTTTAGTCTAGTCTCAACTAACCAAAT